TTCCTGACCAGATCTCTTACTGCTCGAATGATCTTACCAAAGCTGACCAGGGGAAGGGAACAAAAGTACATGGACATAATTGAATCCCTTTGCCTCAGTCAAATCAGAAGGAGATGGAGCCTCCTTATCCAACAGCAGTGGAGCCTGGGCTCTGATGGAAAGGAGATAATGTGTCTAATTATCTTCTAATGCTGATTGTAATGCATCTGCATGAAGTGAGTGAGTGTCATCACCCAGCATGGCATTTATGGACGTTCAGGCACCATTAGTTATACACTCATTAGCACCCAGACATGGGGAGGGAGAAAGGATAGAAATGTGGAAAGGTAGCAAATTAATAAAATAGTGCTGTAATACTTGTTTCAAAAACTGGACACTGCTTTTCAAGTGCTTGTCTTTCAGCAAACTCATGATTTCGCGTCATTGTAGTAGGTTTTAATATGTTCCTCAGTACATAGCACAGATTCACATCAGACTTCTGCTTACGTAAGAATTACTAGATAAAAAGCAACAACTGCTACCAGGCAGTCTAGAGATGTTTCACAAAAACTGGTTGTAAAAATAAATATTCCTACTTCCACTGTCACAAATTTGGCTGCTGGGAGTTGAGGTGAAGAGCCAGAAACCTTCACTGAACACTGTTCTTGTAGGCAGAATAATCTAATAGGAAACATCAGTAGATTGCAGAGCAGGTGTTTCATGAGCCTTATAAAAGACCCAAAGAAAAACCACTTTATTTTGCTAGATTTGAAAGCAGTTAGAGGACTTCATTAATATTTTAACCAACGGAATTTGTAGCTTGAAACACATATAGAAAGGAAAACCTTCTTAGTTTCTGATTCCTAAATTCTTGTTCACATGGTGTTTATTTAGAGTCTGACTGGCATCCTTAGTATGGGCCCCAGTGGAAATCACAGTGAAGATGTGGAGCATCAGCTATCAGTGAGAAGATTTGATACAACTGATAGAAGCTGATACCAACTGTCAGTGAATGCAGCAAGGTGGCTGAAAGTTATGCCTGTACCCAAGCACCTGGTTGAAGTGATTGACAGAATGGTTAGACTGCAGTGACAGTCATGACAAGGCACCCAGTTCTGAGCATCTGGGTCCCAAGTGTTGTAAATTTGGCTCCATGTATAAAGAAATTGTGGCATAGTCTATATTTTTCTTCATGTACTTGGTTGGCTATGATTAAAATTGAAGGGTATTTTCAAAACCAGGAACGTGACTTGAAAATGATGGCATGCTATAACTGAATTCCACCCACTCGTATCAGAGCTGGAAGTGTGGATTCTTGCTGGGGCTGCCCGATGGGGTCTGCAGCACGCTGGATGTTCCACAGTGCTGCTGGCTTCAAAGGTCCATGATTTCCAGTCAGGTGCTCAAAGGTTTTGCCTAGTGCCTGAAAACTCAGCAGACCTGCCAAAGCTGTGTCGACCCTCTTCTCACTTGCCTCGCCAGATCAAGCTCATGGTAGAATTTTGTGCTGGTGCTTTTCTCTAGTCTGTTAAAACCCAAACAGCACTGGTACCATGCCAAGCTGCTCAGTGGCACTGGTGCCTGCACTGGGACTGAGGCTGGGCAGTCTGTTTTCCAGCCTCTCTCCCGTTGGTATTAAACAAAGATAGTGTGGGAAGAAGCTTACCTCAGAAGAATTTTGTCACTGTAAGAATTATTGTTATTGTTTCCTATAAATTGAAACTAACCCTTAGAGGAATTTATTAGGGGTTTGATGGGTATTTAATTTGACTGTATGACAGGTCTGTGGCATTTATATGTTCATCTTTTCATCTCATTTATCACAAGGTTTCTTCTCCTAGACAAACACCATTTTGCTGCCTCAGAAGCCATTCCCCCGATGCCCTCACCATGCTGACACCAATAATCCCACCGTCTTCCTTAATGCCTGTCCTGCCAGTTCTTTCCACCTGTCTTAGGACCTCTCCTCACCTTTTCTGTCATTTCACTTATAATCAAAATATGATCTTCTGTACTGTTATAAAGTTGCCTTCCACGTCTGCACTTAGACAACCTTTATGCTTTGTCACAGGCTACTCCTCATGCTTGAGGGCCACCCCACAGAGTCTCAATATGATCTCCGTTATTAGTACTTCTTAAGATGGTTCTATCAACTGTTTTTATTCAATGGGCTACCTCACTGTTGTTCTTCCAAGCTCTTCCTAGAACTCTGTTTCAATGCCCATAAAATGGAAGACTTTATTGACAGGGGAGCTGCCGATTTATTGAGGCTGTGGCCTGTTGTACCTGCTGATGTTTTCAGATCATTCCTGCAATTTGCCTATTTGTGTCCTTACATAACTGATAATTTCTCTGAGGTAACATGATCTTTTAGTTCAGGTTTTGCATGGAGTATATTTTTCCAATAAACTACGGCTAAAATATTTTCATCAAATTCCTGTTTACAAATATTTATTTTAATCCTCCCTTCTCTTTACAGAGACATCAGCAAGAATCAAATATCTGACATTGCGCCTGATGCATTCAAAGGCTTGAAATCTCTCATTTCATTGTAAGTAGAAAGTAGAACTCAATGGGCATTTGGGGAGAGCTTGCATATAAGAGAAATAAAAATGATAATGTGCTCTCTGGGAGAATTTATGCTTCTGTGTGCTTGCCAGCTTGAAAGAAGTATCGGATCTTTTGCAAATGAAAAATTGGTCATGAAGGTTAGAAGGAGCAACTGTTTACACATCTCTAGTAGGTTCTTTTGCAGATTACTTTTGCAAGGTTACTGCCTTGTTCATGTCTTCAAATCCGTGCATTGGTTGATCTAATGTACAGGTGCACCTGCAGGCTAATCCATGCCCCCAGCTCATCAGGGCACACATGAACCTTCTCACAGCTCAAGCACTGTTTGGTGGTGTTGATCAGGGAGGAGTTAGGGGAAATACTTCATACTGAATTTTTATTCTGTATTAAAGAACTGAGATTGCACTCTCTTGGTTTGGGTTTATTTGGGTTTGGGTTTTTTTTCAAACTAGTTAAGGAAGAACCTAAGCTATTAAGAAAATGTTTATATTTCTTAGCTTTAATTACTTTATTAAGCTGGAAGGGGCCTGAATATAACTTCATACAGAAGATAAAAGGAAGGTAGGATCTCTTGACAACCATTTGTTTTACTTTATAGAAGACAGAAACTGTTTTAGCACCAAGTTGAGTTTAAATGCAGCTGTGTTTCAACGTAGCTACTCACAGCACTATTAAAATAGTGGAGCTTTTAATGGGTGAAAGGAGCAATACAAGGTCAGAAGCTGCATATGGCAAATGAACTAGACTGAAGTGTTAGAAATAGCCCCAGGTTGATAGAAGAGGGTAAGCTCAACTGAAATGAGATTTACCTGCATTAATTTTAAAGACAGTTTTAAAACACTTATTCATTAATATTCACATAGCACAGTTTGGTTTCTGAGAGTGTAGTTTATTTCTAAAAGCTGTCTTAATTGTATTCTTCTGAATGGTGTATAATTCTGACAACCTATACAACTTGTTGACTAGTGCTATTATTAGAAGGTTATTCAGTCCTGAACTTGTATGTTACATTAAACTTCTGAGTCAGAATGCAAAAGGATGGACCATTTTTTGTGCCGTGAATCCAGCTGGGAGAATGCCAGAAATATATAGTAAGTGTTGCAAGCCTTTGAATAGTTAAGGGCAGTATTATTCAACATGCTGTGGAAATGGTTAAATCCCTCAGTACTGTTTGGGAACCGTTCACTAAGAGAATGTCATTTACTGAATGCTACAGTTTGGCTTAGTGTGAAACTGCTGCTGATGCTGCAATGCTACAACCATCTGCTCTAGCAGCAAGCTGGACAGGCAAGACATTTCTACTGGGGTTGACTCAGAAGTTATTCAGCTCTAGCTGCATCTAATTCAGATACCCCCAGGTGGCCTCAGGAGTGGGACAGAACACATCGGAGTGGACAGAGAGGAAATGAGACTATAAACTGGGCAGGAATTTATAGTGTTTTGCCTTGCACACAGAAGCAAGTGAGATGACTCTATTCTCTGCACAGTCATCCAAAACTCTATTTTAAGTAAATTATGTTTAAGTATGTTTATCTTCAAGCACGTGAAATGGTGCTGCAGTTAACACTAGGAGGTTACAAGGGGGAAGAGATGAGATGCAGCACAGAAAGGGTTGTAGTGAGGAAACTGTCTCTTGAGCAGTCTTTCCTTGATTCAGTTTGCCTCAGTCTCCTTCTACTGCAGCCACACAAAGCTATTGTAGCACACAGTCTGTGTCTGCAGAATGTGCTTCCAGGACAGTGTCAACTCCAGATTTGAAAATGTCAGTCTCCTCCTCTAGGTTCAGTTGTCCATTGTGCTTGCCATTGGCTTTTACTTTCTTTTAAAGGGTTTTACTCTTGCTGTTAGTTGCAGGTAGGTCTTACAAATGTTTTCCCTATGGCTGGTAGGCAAGATCTCTCCTGACCTGTCACCCAGACCTCTGGCAGGTTGTTCCCTGCTGGTCACTTCTATAGTTTCAGTTTCTGAGCCCTAGGTACCTTTATGGAGCAAGATTACCTGCTGTTCTGCAGAATCTAGGTTCTTCTGAAGAAACCTCGCCCAGGTTTCTGCTTTTGAGAAGCAGAGGACCTTCATTTCTCCCATCTCTGCTATAGCCACCAGTCCAGTTTTGTCAACTGCAGAAAGACAAGGAAGTGCAAGAGTAGATGAGTCCTTTGAAATGCCAGCCCTCCCAATGAAAGTGCCAAAGGGGAAAGAACGAGGAGGTAGAAATGAAGTAAGATAGTTTGCTTACTAGTGTTTCCTCTTTTAAGAGGCTCAGTCTTTCTGGTGTCTAAGGCAGCAATGACTTTAGTCAGCTCCCTGCCCTGAAGGAACGCTGCTCTGCATACAATGCTGCAGCTCAGCTGAGAGGAACTTTGGTTTTTCAGATATGTAAGTCAAGTGTGGTTAGTGGCATACATTTTAATGAGGCACCATTGTGGTTTAATCTGTGCACAGAGCAGCTGGACTTCTCAGCTAGCGAGTTAAAACAAGAAGAGAGGGGAAAATACTAATGCGCAAATGAGAAGTAAGCAACTTTGTTTCCATTAAAAATGAAGTACTGCTGTACTGCCTAAAATTCTTGCTTTTTATTTTTCCCTGCATTATTCCCATTTTCTGCTCCTCCGTTTACTCCCTGCTTGCATGCAATTGCAGTGCTCCCTACGGGTCTGAGAGAGTGAAAGTGCTTCTCTGGAAGACAGCCAGCGTTATGAGTCTGGCTGGCTAATGGAGGCCTATATATAGTGAGTTGCTACCTACTTTTGTCTGAAGTTAACTTAGGTTATTGTCTCCAGGCAGAGCTGTTTCTTAGAGTACCTATTGAGCCCATTCAGAGATGGAAGAAAAAATGGTGTATTATAGATTTCAAAACACAGGGATGTGTATTACAAAAACAGTTTCCCCTAAAACGTATAAAACTTAAATCTTTTAAAAGTCCTAAGTGATCTATATGCTAACAGGTCGTAAGTTTTTATCTTAAACCTGTATATTTTCTCTAACTAGAAATCCACCTATGGGAGTCAAACAGATCACAAAATGCTAACAATTTAAAGGAGCCATTTCTGCCTTAGGTTTTTTTTTGCATTTAGCAAAAGAAAGGCATACTGGTTCTTATAAAGACTCAAGACTTCCCCAGTCTCCATACAGAGAAACAAAAAGTTGTTCTCTCCATACCCATTTTTCACTTTTCATAGAAGTATTTGGGCGTCTACATTTATCTTTTTTCTGGTTGTGACAACAATTAAGGAGCCAGAATCATCATTCTCTAACATTTTTTTACCTTCTTCCTGGAGTTTTCTGGCTTTGCCATTTCCCATTGTTGTCACATGCAGGTGGCACTGAGAGTTTTGTTCAGCTCTGGGTCTGTATGTTCTGTGGATTTAATTCTGTTACTGTGTCTGAAGTTCCTTTTCAATATTTAGGTACTGAGGCTTAGATACGTAGTAGCATATTTTTGCTATGAACTAAACAACAAGCCTGTTTGTGGACAAAACTGAAGATAGAGTAAAATTCAGCTTGCTATAAAGCTGCTGTAGAGACTGGAGGATCTTGTGGATCAAGGCATGAGAAAAAGGGTCTTTAGCCCTAAAGAGGCTAGTGTGGGATATATTGCATAATTTCAGTGACAGCTGTTGGACAAAGAAACTTTGCCTATATCAAAGTCTCACCTCTTTAAAACATGGAAGTATTTCTGTGTATCAAGGAGATGATACAAGGGTATATGGCTTGAAGGCTGTGAGGTGTAGTGATACTGCAGTACTTGGGAGCATGTAAAGTGGATTTTTTGAATATAAAAAAGCAGTAAGCAGCACAAATATGAGCCACAGCTTTTTTTGTTGGAGGGATTAGTCTTGCCATCCAATACTTCTTTCCATATAAACATGAGAGCAAATAGTACCCTTGCATTGAGAAGTGTGGAAAAATTGGTTGATTGCAAAAGAGTGTGTTATCTTAATTTTAAGCAAAAGTTTGAGAAATGCTCTATTTGTAGTACATGGTGTTTGCATTACATAGTTGGAATTGCACTTTGCCAGAGTTGGAGGGTTAACAACTCAGCACAGAGCATGGGGGCTAATTATGAATAGTTTCATGTTTCAAGATTGCTGCATGCACTTTCTGAAGTAAATTAATTTTTCATTTACTCAACTCAAAATCTGTCTAACATCAGCGAGAGCATTGTATCAGCATTTGGTTATTGTTAATCGTATCAAAGATAAATGTTTTTCTTGGGGTCAGGAAACTTCCCACAAATGTAGGTTTGGAAGGCTGTGCCCAGACTGTCTGGGGACATTTTATGAGATATGACAAAATAGTCTAAGCCTTCAGTGTGTTAAACTGAATGAAAAAATTTTAGACCACTGCGAAGGGAGAGTTTCTTTGCTTTTGTTCATATACTGAATTAAGCTAGTGAAGAGTTTAAAAGCTTACATCAGCCTGGGCACAAAGACAAGAGACAGCTTTGATTTTGACAGAGCAGTCCCATTTAGACCATCGTCTCCTGGGTGATGATGTATGTGGTGTCATTCATGGTGATTTTGAAATCTGCAATAAAACACTGTCTATCGCAGTAACCACCCAACTTATTTTAAGGTAACAAATTGCTTTGGATAGTTTTGCTGTGATTTATTTAGCCTAACTTGTTCTGAAGAAATATGAAATAGTGCAGAGGGAAAAAAATGACACATCTGTTTCTTTCAGATATTAGAAATTTATTGCTGGTTTTGCCCCTATCAATCCCTCCTCTTTTGAAAACTTGAATTCTTATTGAGCCTGTGCCATTGTACATAGCTTGAGAAATATAATTCTTCCTAGCAGGAATTGTTTTCACAGTCTGAAGAAAAGTTAAAAGCATTCTGAAGACTCAAAAAGACATTGCATAAAGTCAAAATCTAACACTTTGGTAAGAATGTTTCAGCCAAGCCAAAATAAAGGCACTCTTAGCTGGAAACCAGATGGTCTAGAGAAAGTGATTCTGTGCTAAGCTCTCATACCCCCTAAAAAGTTCTGTGTCACCGTCCGGGAAAAAATTTCTATATTCTAGGATCTGACTTAATGAAGCAGCTAAATTGCAACTACATTTGTAAGTAAGGAAGATGAACTGTAAAATAAAGACAGCACAGCAATTACTGTTTCACACCTTTAGAAGGTAGTATGCTAAACTTCAGTGCACATGAACAGCCATGTGTTGGTTAAGTCTTTGCAAATTCCTTAATTTTAAATTTTTTCAAGAGGTCACAGTCTGGAGACTGTGAAGAATCAGCGAGATCTTTATGTTTCAAGACCCTACCACTGCAGGTTTGTTACTTGCTTAATTACATTCCCATCCAAGATAACGCTTGTTGTGATGTGTGCTTGCAATGCTTCCTTTGTCTGGTAAGTCCCAAGCTTTCAATCCATGCAGTGACTAGTTTCATTGTTGCAGCTTTATTTTTAACTAACTAAATAGAACATCACTTGGATTAATCTGCAAAACTTGAAGTTTAGTAGTAACAATTAGTTTTTAAACTAGAAATTTAATATTTCATTTTATCTTGGAATAGATATATTTGGGGAGGAATATTAAAATACAGTGCCAGAATCAGGCTGAAGAAACATAATGCCTCATTATGACTTATTTACATTTGTATGATTTCTTACTGCAGCTCTGTAATATACTTCAGCTGAATCAGGTGCTTCTTCCAGGGATCTCCTGCAATGTTTTCAGTGCAGCCAAGGGTCTGTGCTTTATATGTATTGTCCTTCCCATTATTTGGAAGGTTGATGGCAGCCTGGAAACTGCTGCAAGTTGTAACCCAATCTGCCAGGTACATCTGAAGAAGTGCAGCTTGTGGTTTGTGGCCATGCTGAAAGCACGTAGCTGTGAAACGGCAAGCTGAGGGCTCTATGTGCCACTCAGAATAGAGCCCTCAGATGGCTCAGCTGCACCTGTGCCATAACAGCAAGTTCCTGATGTTACAAAGCCACCAGCAAAAAGTGTGAGAAACGTTTGCTTGAGTTAAAAATGTAGAGAATGATTCTTCAGGTCTTTCTGGTATTAGATACACCTGCCCTGTGGAAAAGGCAAGGGTAAAAATCGTGTGCTGGCAAGTCTGATGTGTTTGCACATCTCTGTGACTGTTTGCTCCATTCAGACTGCTTTCCCTCTTTGCAAAGGGACTTCCATGTGTGGTGAGAAGAGAAAGAAAGGAACAGTAAGGAAAAGGCTACCTATTGGTCTCTCAGGCAGTTTTGGCTTAGTCTCTAGTTACTACTTTTAAGATTAGCTTTGTGAATATAGAATTAAACTCTAGCTCACTTTTCTCTTTCTCCCCAAATGTACATCGCGTTTAGAGTAATATCTTCTCCACCTGACAGCAAATAGTATTTGTCAGACCTGAAACTAATCTGATCTCCCAACAAGAATGAGAAGCAAATGAACAGAGGCATACCATAAAAATTTTAGTAATATTTTTGTTCTAATAAATGTCATTCTGATTCATGGATTCACTGTCAACTGGCAGCAATTACTGAGCTCATTTTATTTTTGTTATATATTGACTTTGTTAATGTATTTTTAATAAAAAAAAATGTTTGGGGTCTAAGATTTCAGATGTTAGGGATAGAAGGAAAGTTGTATTCCTCTGCAAGGCTTGCACAGCAGTCAGGACACCTGCATATCCTGCAACAAAACATGTGAGGGATGCAAGCGAATGTACATTTTCAGAACTTGTAATGCCATAGGCAAATCTACTAGTATTTATCTCTTTTGGTAAAAGCATTGGCGATCTAAGTGAAGTTCTTGAGTTGACTTGGCGCTGTTTCCTGTTATATGGCCCTTTGAAGATTTGTGGGTGTTTTTTTGTTTGTTTGGTTGGTTTGTTTTTTTGTTTCATTTCTTTTTTCCCCAAAGCTTCTATTCTGGAAATACTGTGATACGTGCTAGTGAGACAGGCAGAACACCAGCCCGTAGAGAAAAGCAGCTGCGGTCCCGGTGTGTCCCTAACCTGGGCAGTCTGCTCTGCAGGCTAACACATTCAGAGTGCTGTTACGAGTGCAGCAGTTGAACAAAAAGAACAAAAGCATCTTGGAACAAGAACCTGACCAATATTCCTATTTGTTGGCAGGAGTATGCTTTCCTGTCTTAGGCAGAAAAATTGAAAACTCTGAGGAAAACAAAAGTTTCTGTGCTTTTTATTAGCATAAATGGAAATAAGGAACTCAAGAAATTAGATGTTATGCATTATGTATCATCTTCCCTCCCCTCCTCTTTGCTTCTTTCTGTAGGACCGTTTGACTTCAGCTCTGGCATGGCAGGCAGACAATGGCATTAGCTAATTTGGCTCTGTGTAGTGCTGAGCATGAATATGAATTAGAGACAAGTGCCTGAGCTCTCATACTGACTTTTGTTTAGCTGTTAATTTGTTTGAATGTTAATGTGCCACATGCACATAAGCTAAATTAGGTTTGAAAATGCTTATTTTCTTTTCATGGCTTCTAAAAATTGAAGCTTTGTTTTATTTTATAAGCTGTTTTCATCCGTTTTATTTTGCTCAAGATAATAAATAAAGAGCATGTATAAACACATCCAAGGTTTAAGATTCGGTGGAACACTACACAATGACCTTCTGACTCTTGAAAGTAAATGAAAAGTTACTCTAGTAAGAGTCTTATTTTGGTATTTGCATTTAGTAGTACCATAACTAATAACTGCACAGCATGTGAGTATTGAGATGTCTTTAAGGTTTTACTTTACATAAATGATTTTGCCTCTAAAGCCATAATAACGCTTAGTCTGGAGTGGGGATTTTTTTTACATCTTTTTACATTTTGTAAAGCTTAGTTTCTGACCCCTTTCTTCTATGCTGTACTACTGTGCATTATGGATCAGCATTGATGAACATGCTGTTTCCGAAAGCTAAGGAAGATATTCATCTAACATTACACAGCTTATAACTTTGGGTACAGAAGATGCATTTGCTAAAGAAATGTTCAGAAAGAGTGGAAACTGAACTGGAAGTATACTGGATTCTGTGGGCATTGGCTTAGTATTTTAAACTTTTATAAATACTTCATTTACAATGGTTTTGCTTTTCTGGTACAGGTATCTCACAACAGGTAATTTGTTCAGAAAGAAATTTGTGTGTAGCCATATGGATGTTAGTTTAGAGCCCAGTGAAATCCCATGACTTGAATATTATCTCATATTTTGAAACTGCTCTCTGAATGGACCTGCTAGAGCTTTCAATGTTCAGCCATCATTTCTGTCTAGTTTTGGGTAGAGTATAAAATCTGCATACATTACATGAAATTTAACTAGGAAATTGTGTATGTCTTCTGAAGTTGAAATCAGGAAATAATTTGAAAAAAATGCTGCTACTATCCTTCATTACTCTCAAAACCCACTAATTTAATACCACATTATTATCTGACTCTGAAATAGATATATTATACTACATTTGTTTAGAGAAAATACGTGCTAGATGGTCATCTGTTTGTTGCATAGCAGTTCAGCTCATGCTAATCTACAAAAGCAGTGAAAGATGGAGTTTAGGTTTCCATATCTAAGTGATTGAATTTTATTTAGATTTATTTTGTTTAGGCTCAGAAAGAGGCTGGTCACAGAGGTGATACACTTCCGATGACTGATGAAGAGTAAACTGAAGTGGTGATACTCTGGGAAGGCCAGAGGGTATTGTAAATGGGCTGTCATGTTAAGTTCTTGGTTTCCATTAAGTTCAACTCACCAAAAAATTTTAGATGTTGAAAGACAGAGTAAGCCAGAATTTCAGCCAGCATCCAAGCCTCACATGGCTATGTGATCCATTGCTCACATTTTATTCCAAATTAAAAAGTTGGGGAATTAACCAGTCTAGTGACACTTAAGCAACAAAGTCTTCCTGGTTTATAACCATTTGCCATGTCTTATGTAGAGCATAGAAATTTCATAAACACTGATTTCCCGATTTGAAGTCTGTTAAAAAGTTTAGATAAGGTGTGAGTGGGAGCCTAATCTTATTCCCTTTTACCAGAAGCCATGTAAGCTCCTAACTCACTTTTTGGTTTTGACAAATTTTATCAACTTGCAGAAATGACGTGAGTAAATACTTTAGCTGTGATTGAAATTCAGGTGTTCCTGTCATACATGGTCTTGCTCTGATCCCCAGGTAACACATCTTAGCATAATGGTGGTTTTATCTGGCTTTCTCTTCAGTTTAGCGTCTGAGGATACTGTGTGTGCATTTTTCTGTTAAAAAAGGAAGCGTTTTAAATATTAAAACTGAATCATGGATATCACATCGTAGATATTTATGGTTGAATAAATAGATACAGTGACTCTTGTTTGTATTATTAAATCTTTACCAATAAATATACTACACTTAAATCATTTTTGTGTTTCTGAAATATGTCTATTCCCAGTTCATGCTAAATTTCTTTATATTAGCTAGTTGAGACAGTAACAGCAGCTGGTGAAACAGTGATATTTTATCCAATGATGCCTGTGTCACATTTCATGCCAATTATTATATCTTAAGAAATTCAGTTATATGAAATTTTATCTGCAACTAGCTTGTGCTCCCTGGCTTTTAAATTCTGTACCACTAAGCAGAATTCTAGGGTTTTAATCAAACAATGCACCTTTCAATGGTTAAAATATTTCTAAAAAGGGTGGAAAAAAATCCCTCAACGGAATGAAAAATATTTCAGATACAGTTTTTGGATGATATCCAGTTTCTACATTAAAAATGCTCTCCAACACCAGACGAAGCCTGAATCATAACGACTCATTTAATACCATGTTCTCTCTGAAAAGAAAATGAGATCAGTAGTTAAATGAAATGCCCACAGATCCCGAGCATGGTGCACAAGATCAATAAAGATGATAATGTAGAGATGTGGGAGGACACTAAACTGGTCTGTTACTTAAGATTTATTTTGTCTTCCTGAATCTTTCAGAGTGCTCTATGGAAACAAGATCACAGAGATTCCCCAGGGCCTTTTTGATGATCTTGTGTCTCTGCAACTGCTGTGAGTATGATCCCTTTCCTCTTCTTTATTTTACAGACTAGCTAGATTTACTGTTTTTTCAGCTTCTGACATTAATATGGTCACCTTTTCCACTGAAAACTCACTGAGACATGCTAGTCTGTTGTTTCTGTGTCAGACAAGAGGGAGGCAAGGGCTGAAAGAAAAAAAAAAAAAAAGAAAAAAGAAAGTGCCAACAGTTTTATAGCATAGTGTGTATAATAATGTGTAGTAGACACAGGATTTATGTGTGGGGAGGAAATGAGGGACTTGGTGAAGTCCAAGAAAGGAAATTTGGTCACCGGCTGGTGTGCGGGTGAGGATGCCATGTGATTGTTTTCACATATTTAGCATTTATGGTTGAGTGTCTAGATCCTTGAGGGCTACTGTGTTGCCAGTACCTGCACATGCAAGCAAAATGGGAATAGGAAAGATCTGGTTGTTGCCAGCCGTGCACAGTTCACGTTCTTATTATGCCAAATGTGGCTTTATTGCAAGAGAAAACATTTCAGAATGTGTTGTATATTTGAGTATTTTATGCCATTTGTGATTTAACACACAGCCACGACTGGGGGTAAGATACACTCTTCATTATTTATTAATGGAGCATAAAAAAAATCTCTTAAGCCAAATGCGAAATTGCCAATTTCAGTCACTCTTGTCTCCATAATCACATTGGGAACCAGTAACTCCTTCAAAGAGAAGAAAATTGGATGCTATTTTAGCTAGTCGGTAGTGGGAGCAGAAGTCAAGTGCATTTAATATGTATTCCTAATGTTCTGATTACCATCATGGATGATGCACTCAGTAAGGGTGATATATGATAAATTCTGGATTATATCACACACAGCCCTCCACATCCAAACAGTAAATTATGTTAAATATGGGATAAAAAGTAGCATTTAGACATGTGATTTTAAGCCCTTCTGTCTTGACATAACCAGGAATGAATATCCCAGAGTTCATGATTGCCATTGAAAGTGACACTCTATGATTGTAGTTATTGCTGCATTTAAATGCTTTATAAAAGTAAGCACAGATTTAGGTTAGAAATCCTTGACCAAAGCACTAAAATATGAAATGATTGAAATTGCTCTGTACATTAAGTGGACTACTCAGACATGTAATTTATCTGTAAGATCTTAAATGGACCACTCAGTTCTAGAGAAGGGCAAGCAAGAACACATATGGTTTGGTTATGACAGTCCTTGAGCTGCAGGGTTGGGAACCTGTTTATCTCCTCCTGCACACAGCCACTTGGTTTGTCCTCACCTGCTGCACATACATGTTCTGGCATCTCCTTTCTTCTCTCCTATCCCATACCTCACAAGTTTGTAGTGCTTTAAGCAGCTTTCAGTGCCTTTATGCTATAGTCCTTGTATGCATGTTGTGCAGGCATTCAATTAATTATATACTTAAGTCCAGATGGAGTAATTTTCCAGTCTGAATTGGTTCAAGGGGTGCCTTTTTGTTAAGGGGGCAAAATCTATATGCCCAAGAACCATGAAGAGGTGTTGTACTTCGACCATTTAAACATTCTCAAGCCCAGGAGATGCAAGTGGGTTGCCCTTTTATGGGATTCCCAGAGTACTGTGGCTCTGGAGCCTTTCAGCATCTTCTTGAAAGTGTTTGAATGTAAAGTAGCTTTTGGCAAGGAGAGCATCGAACAATCGGGTTTTAAATGCAAACGAACATGTGCACACTTTTGTGATCGTGGCTTTGAGGCAGCTATTGTGGAATTGCTTGTAGCATTTTAATGGATACCAAAAAAATAAATGGCATTTGTTGGTTTTAGACCTGCTGTTGAACAGTTGGAAGACTGCCCTATGATTAGATCTAATTTAGTGTACAGTGGGCTCTAGATTGGATTTCTTCTTATTAGTCTGGAGACACACTGATAAGAGTGCTCTGATTAAGATATCCTGGTAGCCAGTATAATTTCCTAAGCTTGAGCATTTTTGAAAATATATTGGCATTATGGTAAAACAGGACACAATCAGAAAAGGGGAGTCATTGTGAATCTTGTATAAAATTACTGAGATTTTACTTAGAAGGAAAAAATAATTACTGTGAAATTGCAGAGCAGCTAATATTATTATATACTGTTTTGGATAAGAGTTTCTCAGAAATGTCATTATCCTCCTGTTTAAATATACTGTCACAATATAGGCCCAGATTATTCCACTTTTGTTCTGGCAGAGTTGTCTTACAGACAGTACCACTGATGTGAGAAACACTGTAGCTGGGTAAAGTAATGCTCAGCACAGGTGTGGCAGTGTCTTCCACTGCCCCATTTGACCTTGGTGTATGGGAAATGAAGAATTCAATTCAGAACATGTTTTAGACCACCTTGCTAGCATTAGAATTCTATATTTCTGTCATATAAGAGATGTGGGTAAGCCAGTGTTATGGTATATTTGGCAAGAAGATAACCAAACATGGTTAGTTAATAAGCTTTTTTTGTTGTGGGGTTGTGGTGTTTTTGTTGGATTTTGTTTGGTTTCTTTATTAACCCTTTTTGGTTTATTTAAAATGTTGCTTCTGAAGACTTCATTATAATTAGCTCTTTTAAGTAGTTAGTGTTCCCCACATAAAGAATCATGGTTGGATTTCTGTTAAATTACTGATTTCATAAATCTTATGTCTTTCTAAATACTCAGTTGTAACCAACACAGCAGCAAACATTGCTGTACAAGTCCAACTACACCTCTGTGCTGTGGGGCAGAAGCTTTGTGTGGACCATGTCATCTTCCTTATCCTGTTTGAAGTTGCCAGGAGACAGCATGCTAGAAAGCTACTGTAGTAACTTTACCCCATCCTCATGCATTCTTTTCAGCAGGCTGGGTCAAGTGTCTCCTGGGAATTCTAGGTCAGCATGGATTTTGGAGAGCTGTACTATTTTTCAGAAAGGGATAACTGAAGTCTGCCTTTTTTTTTTTCCCAACAACAAACTGAAACATTCATTTCACTGGGGCAACAGTCCCTCCAAGCTGTGCAGTAGTGTTTGGTTAGTTATCCTTGTTTGTGTAACTTGCATTTCAATGTCAAAAGAATGGAGAGGGTTTCAGTTTAAGGTGGAAGTTTTCAAGTAACCCTTAACTGTGGCCACTTGGAACTCATGGCCAGGAGGCCTTAGACTAACCTCGGTCTGCCTAAAAACTGGAACACATTTAAATGTCCTTCTCACCTGTCTTTGAGTTTTCCTGGAATGTGGACAGGCTCTTTCAGGAGCCCTTGAGCTTGCCAAACTGTCTGGCTGTCACTGCACGTGGGGCACAACATAACACCACACAGCTCTTCCTCTGTCAGCCACACTGTGACAGATGAACCTGAGGGTTGCTCTGCTTCCTCCCAGGTGAGCAAGTGTGCAGAGAAACAGTGAGTGAGACAGTGAGCTGTGGATAATGGGCAACAGGTTTGTTAACAGGGATTTTTTCATATTTACTTCCTTCTCTGCAACCATACTAATACAAACATTCTGGGAGCCTTTTTATTACAGTTATACCCTGCATGCTTCACAGTGCTCTATTTCCTGGAACAAGGAGGTATCATAAAATCCCTAATGTTTAAAGAGATTGTATAGCAGAATAATGTAGGGGATGAAAACTCATGTTTCAAATGTCTGGCAACTATGAATTTTCAGTAAATCCTTTTCCTCAAGGAAATTTACTTTGCATAGTTACTAATCATACATGTGCTCAGGCATGTCGATCCTAAATCTTGTGGTTGTGATCCCAATAGCTCACTGGGCAAGAAAGAATCCCTATAGTGGACTCTGTTTTGATGTTGCTAGAAGCAGATATGCTCCTGGGGTACATGTATGTTGAAATCAGTGGTTTGTTCTATTCCTCTCTCATAAAAAAAAAAAAAAAAAAAGCCAAAATTTTATAGACTTTTCTTCTTCCTATTGTCTGATCATAAGGGAAAACTCAACACTGTAGTTGGAAAAGGCCAATAATCATACTGATGCCTGGAGTGTGACATATTGACAGATAAGGTAACTTCAAAAGTGGTGAAAAATCAGACTTCCAGATCAAATAATCTAAGATGGGTTAAAATTGGAACTAGTCCTAATATTGACAAATTCAACTGGCCTTTATTATAAATAGACTTGTATGAAGTCACAAGTCATGTGTATACTTTCAGAAAGTGCTATTATCAGTCTTCCCAAAATTCAAGCAGACAAATTTTCCTTTGAGAGCATCTCCTTTTTAACCTGCTTTTTATGCTGTTTCTCCTTGGATGAATAGCTGAGATGCTTAGTACTCCCATAGCACTTTTGGTGAGGTTGCTTGGAAAATATCTCTATGGCAAATCTGCCAAGTTTGAAGTGCTTGTGTTGATTGGTAATTGCAAGTTGAATCCCAGTACTTAAACACTTAGAGTAGGATCTACCAATTATTTATTGTATATTTTTGGAGATTTTTAGAAGCACAGAGAAAATCCAGTGAAACACAAACCCATATAAAGTATTTTTTAAAAAATATTAAATTGTATTGGATACATTATACTGTTATATGCACAAGTATCATTAAACAGTGATGCAAACAGTATATAAATGCCAGAACAAAGAAATTACAGTTTTCCATTTCCAAGTCCTTTATAACACAGTAGTCTCTCCTCCTCCCCATAGCAATCTGCTGGCTTTAAGTAAGTATAAAATCTTCTTGTTGTTCTGTGGAGTTCTTTATTCTCAGCAATAAGAGAAAAAAGGCACTAAAAAAAAGAGACCTGACTGGATGTAAGGGGAAACATTTTCATGACAACAAGTCAAGCAATGGAGCAGGCTGCCCAGAAAGTTGTGCATTCTCTGTCCCTGAAGTTTTTGAAGATCAGACTAATTAAAACTCTAAGCAGCCCAGTCTGACATGGTAACTCATCCTATTTCAGGCCGTCTAACAGGACAAGAAAACTCTCAAGCTTCCTGCCCTTCTGAATTATCCTGTGATCTGAGAAAATAATTATTTCTCAGATAAAGCTAATAACTGCATTAATTATCTAAA